AATTTATGGGTGGGAGGAAGAGAAAAAGAAATAAAAACGAATATAAGCTAAGAAAACTTTTTCCAGTTAAAATTTAAATACATCATTTTTTCCGGCGTGGGAAGGTTTTTTGATGATGAATTTTTCCCTCCAAATCTGAGTATATTTTGCTTTGCTTATGAATAGAACTTTTTGAGAGTTTAATTTGTGTGTGAAATGAAAAAATGAAAGAAAAATGATTAGACAAAGTCGCCGGTGAATGAATATCTGCCGGAATTAGAGAAAGAACGAAAAAAAAGTAAAAGCAAAAAGAAAAAGGAAAAGCAAAAGGAAAAGGAAAAAAAAGTAAGAAAAAATAGTAAAAAAGAATAAAAATTAATTTGAAAATCGTTTTTTCTTGCTTCTAAAAACATACACTCTGCCACATCAGCGTTAAGGGTAAAAATAATTCTATTTAAAATAAGTTTAGGGGGTAATAGGATTCCCGTAAAGAAAAAGTGTGTAGTTGGGAATGCGGGTATAGGTTAAGGGGTACTTATGTATTTTCCCCTTTGAGAAAATTAAGACAAAAAAATATGTGACGAACTCTACTATTCAATTTCAGCGTGGATGTTACAGTGTCTATAATTTCTCAAAATTTGATGAAGGTATTTTCTAATTATTTTCTTCAAATATTGACTCAAGACTTGACAAGCTGATGTTTGATGTATTTGAATCTAAGTTGAGTTTATGAATTTGAATCTAAGTTGAGTTTATGAATTTGAATCTAAGTTGAGTTTATGAATTTGAGGCCAAGGACTTAAAGGCTTGAATTTGAACATGATCATGAATGTAATTTTGAATTATCCGTCACAAACATCAACTTTGGATCAAAATACAACGAATAAGTCATCTTGATTTCAATTGCCTTGGTCCTTAATTTGCCTTTGTTCTTGAATTTGAGTATACGAAACTTGTAAAGGAAGTCTTGAAGTTCTTGTTCTTCGGAGCTCTTTGTCATTGCAATTTCTGATCCTCTTTTTGGCTTATAGAGGACCCATTTACATTATGGAAGAAAGATGAAGACAAATTAACTCTTTAACTGTGATTTTAGTGATTCACTTGAGTCACTAACCATTCATATTGAACTAGTGACTAAATCAGATTTGATTGGCTAGAACATTGTAAATTTGCCATATTCATATTGGTATTGACTTTTTTTTTTTTGAATAATTACAAAATTTGATTTGAATTGACATGTTTTATTCAGCATACGACATGATATCATTGTCCATTTTTTTTTAATTTGACAAGCCACGTCATGATATCATTGTCCATCTTTAACTTGGTGTTTACCCCTAAAACTTACATTTGAATTTACATGTGGTTTCTAGACAAGTCAATTGATCCGATTCTGAAATAATAAAATTGAAGAAATATGCAATACTTAGCCTTAAAATGAAGATAAAATAGCAGAAACAATGATACCGGGAGCAAGGCTTCCGGACACAACAACGATCAAATCAAGTAATAAGAAGATAAAAATATGTAGAGCTTTAGATTGATTATAGCATAAGTTTGCCAAAAAATTCATGTCCTTACAATGATAATAAGGCTCACTATTAATAGCTTCACCTAGGAAAAAAAGTCCTAGGATCATGCCCTTCTTTAATATCAATTCTGAGGACTATTGAAGAAGGTATAACAGTGAGCATAAATGACAAATTCCCTATAACTGGTAGTGCACTACATGTTGTGGAATATTCTCCATTGAACGTTACCGGGAGGAGCAGTGGCGTACGCAGAATTTTGCATAAGCGGTATCACTATTTAAATAAATAAAAATTGCTGTAAATTTGTACAACATACAAAAATACAAGGAAGCAGCAGCATCCTTTCACGTTTAAAGAATTTATTGTCGCTACTACCTGCAAATGTCACTTATGATCCATTGGTTTAGTGTTTTCATAATGCCAAAGAGGTCAGCGGTTCAAACCCCTTCAGTCACATCTATTTTGTGGATGGGCACAATTTTTTTTTTAAGAATGTAGTTGAAGGTTCGAACATGCGACCTAAGGCGTAATAGTTCAGTCTCTGACCGCATGAGCTACACGAACCGGAGTTATAAGTGGTGTCACTTATATTATTTATAGGATTGTTGCGTTTTTATATTTGAACTATATATACATAATTAGTAGAATGATTCGACGAAGCGGTGTCATGTAACATCGTTCGGACTAAGGTAAATCTGCCCCTGGGGAGGAAGATATTTATTGCATCTTCACGAGTGTCATTCTTTCTGGTGGCAAGTAGGACCGTTGCCTTTGGTGCTATCTTTTCTCCATTTTTGACTCCACATGTCACTATCTAACGCGACCACTTGGCATAGCATATTTTACCCTATACACTTGGCAAGTCACGTCTCTTTAACACATAACATAATTTTGGACCTTTAAGACAACACATCATGAATCTAATGTTAGATTATTAAATTTCAGCCATAGCAGAGATCAAGACACAATCATACCGATATAAAACCATAATCTTGAGTTAGAGTTCAAGGAAACGTACCGTTAAACTCCATGGATTCAGCAGGGACATCAACCGGCGATCAAGCCTGAGACCAACTTCCACGATCCACTAGCTACACACTCTCACAGCCTGGAAAACTTGACTGATAGGACGTCTACCATTACCACGTATTCAAGAGGCCGAATACACTAGGGTTTTTCTGATAGCTAGGGAAATGGGGGTTGACCTCTATTTATAAAGAGTGTCTACCCATCATAGGCCAATAGTTATTGGGCTTCACTTATCCACACACACAATATTTAATATTAGGCCTTTTATTTATCCACCACTTGGGCCACGTCACTATCCTTTCAAGTATAACCAATTAACGTAAGTCCAAATCCCAACATTCTCCCACTTGGACGCCAACATTAATTGAGGACAAGAAAACAATTTTAAATATTTGAGTTTTTAAGAAAATTATTTTGAAAAAGGATTTTAGACTCTACGATGGTCACACTACTCATATAGCCAAGGATAGAATGACCCATATAACAATCCATTCAGTCTCAATAAAAAAGACTAACAATGAATCGTAGCAGGCATCGCACCATTTTAAGGTATGAATTCTATCTACGACCACATATGCTAGATTTTCCATCAACATGGATCAAACATGTGTGCTAAGCATTTTATCTTTCTAATCAAGGTGAATAGATTCACACCTCTTAGAAAGAAATAATCCTCCAAGTGATATTTTAACCATATCACCTCAGGAGACTCCAAGTGACACAAAATCATATCACCTCAGGAGGATTCCCTTGTGCCTTACCCGGGATAATCAAAGCAACAAGCCACGAGACTCAAAGATATCATGAGTTTATGCAATGTCCAATTGGAAATAAAAATAAATAAATTATCATGTTAGTCATAAGCATAACAGATATCAAATAACACAAGCTTGCATAAAAATAGAATTTATCAAAAGTAATATCCCAGTCAGCAATTACAAAGTAACTCCCACTGACTAAAGCACATCAAAAGACTCTAAAATACCCATATTTTTAGCATGTTCATTAAACATTACAGGCCTAAGACCTTTAAAAAGGATCAGCCAACATAGAATCTGTGCTAATATGCTCAATACATATATCACCTTCTTTTACCATGTCTCTAACCTTAAGAAACTTAAGGCTAACATGCTTAGAGCCTCTTGTTCTCTTGTTATTTTTGGAGAAGAACACAACTGCACTATTGTCACAGAAAATAGTCACCGGCTTAGATATAAAATCAACAAGTTGTAATTTAGTAAGAAAATTCTTCATCGAGACAGCATGTGAAGCAGTCTCAAAACAAGCAATAAACTCAGCTTCCATTGTAGATGTAGCAGTGATACTTTGCTTCTCACTTTTCCAAGAAATAGCACCTCCACCCAACATAAATATATACCCATAAGTTGATTTCATAGTGTCTTGACAACCTGCAAAATCAGAATCTGAATATACTAGAAGATCCAGATCATCAACCTTTTTATATACAAACATGAAGTCTTTGATGCGTTGTAAATATCTCATCACTTTCTTTGCAGCCACCCAATGTGCCCACCCAGGATTAGAATAAAATCTTCCCAACATGTTAACATCAAATGCAATATCAGGCTTTGTACAAACCTGTATGTACATCAAACAACCAACAACACTTGCATATGGTACATCTTTCATAGTTCTCATTTCAACTTCATTTTTTGGACATTGATCCTTGCTTAGTTTGTCTCCTTTTACAACAGGTGCAACTCCAGGTCTACAGTCTTGCATATTGAATGTTTTAAGAACACTCTCAATGTAGGAATGTTGTGATAAACCCAATAAACCACGTGACCTATCTCTTTTAATTTCTATCCCAAGAACAAAAGAGGCTTCACCAAGATCTTTCATATCAAAGACCTAGACAAAAATTGTTTGGTCTCATTCATCAATCCCAAATCATTTGTGGCAAGCAAAATGTCATCAACATAGAGAACCATAATAATAAAATTGTCATTAGCTATTTTGGATAAACACATTCATCAAGCTTATTTTCCAAAAATTTAAATTTTGTAATAATTTCATCAAATTTCAAGTACCACTGCCTGGAGACTTGTTTAAGACCATATATGGATTTGTTAAGCTTGCACACTAGATGTTCTTTACCAACTTCTTTAAATCCTTCGNATTTTCCACAAATTCAAATTTTGTAATAATTTCATCAAATTTCAAGTACCACTGCCTAGAGGCTTGTTTAAGCATATATATTGATTTTTTAAGCTTGCATACTAGATGTTCTTTACCAGCTTCTTTAAATCCCCTGGTTGAACCATGTAAACTTCTTCAAGTAGACTCCCATTCAGGAAAGCAGTTTTAACATCCATCTGGTACAATTCTAAATCAAAATGAGCCACAAGAGCCATCATACCGATATAAAACCATAATCTTGAGTTAGAGTTCAAGGAAGCGTACCGTTAAACTCCATGAATTCAGCAGGAACAACAACTGATGATCAAGCCTGAGACCAACTTCCACGATCCACTAGCTACGCGCTATCACAACCTGGAGAACTTGACTGATGGGATGTCTACCGTTACCACGTATTCAAGAGGCAGAATACGCTAGGGTTTTTCTGATAGCTAGGGAAAAGGGAGTTGACTTCTATTTATAAAGAGTGCATACCCATCACAGACCAATAGTTATTGGGCTTCACTTATCCACACACACAATATTTAATATTAGACCTTTTATTTATCCACCACTTAAGCCACATTACTATCCTTTCAGACTATAACCAATTAACGTAAGTCCAAATTCCAACATCTAAGGCTTAAGTGGACTCATCAATTGAAGCGCAAGTGCGCAACTACATAGACTAACACGAAACATTGAACTTTTAATTAAATTCATAAAATTGGATTGAAATAAATATTTTTATTACATTAGCTCATAATATTAATTTTGAGTTAATATATCTTGAATTTAGAATATAATCCTAATTCTTTTGAAAATGGTTAATAATGGTTCATGCTTGCCAATTGGCATGAAAAGAACACGATGATGACCAGAAAGCGAAAAGGATATGTTCCTTTTGTATCAAATACGTTNCGCATCCTTAAGCCCATCCCCACCAAACCTGATCATATTCCTTTTACTTTTAAGTGTCAGCAGCCATTTGGTTGACCCATGCTTCAAGCATTCATTCACCACATATTATATCGGTTTCAGATGCCATTCCCTTCCTAAAAGGGCTCTTAACTAATTCATAAGCTTCTTTGCTGTGTTCCACATATAAAATATTAAATAAGCCCATAATTTCGTGTGGAAATATTATCATGTAACTTTTAAGCATGATGTTTAAAATATATTAATAGTTTACAATTTATTTAAAGATTAGTCAATTCGCTCTTCTGGACACGGTGTCCTGAAGTTTAAACTTCAAATTCAAACTTAAGGACATCGTGTCCTAAAGTTTGAAAATTGCGTTTAGAAATTCGAATCTTATGTCCTGAATTTTAAATTAGCAGTTCAGAAATTCAGGACACTTAGTCCTGAATTTCAAAATTTGCAGCTCAAAAATTTTGGACACTAAGTTCTGAATTCCAAATTAGCAGCTCAAAAATTTAGGATACTTAGTCCTGAAATTTGGGTGAATTGACTAATCTATAAATACATTGTAAATTATGGATATAATTTAAAATAACAATCTTAAAAGTTGTTATTACTACACTTTACCCCAGTTTCTTTAAAATAAGCGATTGGAAAGTATGTGATAAAGTAAAAGAGGAGGGCTTGTCAATTTTCAGACAAGTGCACAACATTTGTTTGCTTAATTGATGTGCTAATCAAGAGATTGGAACTTACAGAAGAGATGCCTTAATTCTCTTCGACGAATACTTCTACACAAATGAATTGCCATTTTTTATACATGTATATGTCAATATATATACTCAAGCAACCTATACAGCTAGAAAGGAATACCTAGTTCAGAAACTATTTTGCGCTTTTCACTTCACTTTACAAATTACTCTTTCTTTCACTATCATCATCTTCATTCATTACCAAGACAAACAATAAAAGCATTAACAACAACATGCCTAGGGGTCGACCACTTTCTTTGCAGGTTTCACTTTCAATCCTTTCATCTTTTCTTTTACTTATTGGACTAAAATGGTCAAAAAAAACCACCGGTGGAAAATAGTACGGGCTAGTCAGTATTTGAACTCCAACACATTATGAAATTCTAGCACATTATGCTCGAATCTCATATGTAAAAAATTCGAATTCCAGCATATTATGGTGGAATTTTTTTGGGGTTTAAGGATATTTTTGTTCATATTTTATCTTTAAAAAGTGGCTAAATTTGGATCACTTTTGAAATTATGACTATTTTTTAATTACCAATTGTAAATCTGGCTATTTATGATTTTTTTCCCCTTTGGTGTGATATTGCCCGCTTTGTGCCAAGCCTGCAAAGTTTTTCCAAAAGGCCTCACATGAGTATCCAACTCCTTATAAGTAACTTATTTTTCTTTTTTGCTTTTTATGTGAGACTTTGTTCACGCATACCCAAGATTACTTTCAACAACAACGACAACAACAAAAAAAAATCATTTTCTCCACCTTTTCGCTAGTTCAGCCCGAAAATTATTTCACCTGATTTTCTACTAGCCAATTATGTTATTGTAAAAGATGCATGTTAATTAGAATATCATAGGAGAAACACAATATAATGGGAAAATGTTAATGGGATGACTAGCATTTGGACCGTGTTCCTCTTCCTTCTTCTTTTTTAAATTTATTTTTTGTTTTTAACTTTAATCTTTTCGCACCAACTTTTCTCATCGTTTATCTTAAATATTGGCTAAAGAAATTGTACTTGACGTTCGACAAAATAGAGTCCAAACAGTAAAAGGAACGAACAAAGACAATGAATTGCACATTTGGTCAAAAAGTATATATAGCTAGGTGAAGTAGTTACAAAGCAAAAGAAAATCCTCAGGCTCTTAATTATTAATTAAACCCTGATTTATTTTACAGACGGTGGAACTCAAAGTAAGGATGTGTTGCCCAGGCTGCGAGAGAGTCGTCAAAGACGCTATGCTCAAGCTTAGAGGTGCATTAATCCATATACCAGCTTATTCATAAATTGTTATTATTGCTATATATCATTGGAATTTATCTTGATAGAAAAAAAAAAATTAATTGGAAGAATTCTTGATCCATATGTCCGTCACAAATTTTTCACGGACCCTCATTTTTGTTACAAATATACTACGGACTAATAACCTGTTTAGCCCAGTTTTTTCTTGGTCTAAAGTACTTTTTTTTGTCAATATTGGTACGGAAAAGAGGCCGGCCCCCCTTCTTTGTTGTTGGAATCCTTTTTTTTTTAAAGAAGAAGTTAATGGTCGAGTAACAAATAAGAGTAGTAGATCATATTCGATGAAAGCAAAAATAAAAAAAGACTTTTTCCCCTTTCCTGACTGCAATCGTAAGCAACTTCGCGCAGCTGCTACGCCCTTGCTTCTTGCCCCTTATTTCAAACTCAAGGAAAGCCTTTCTCGATATGAGAGTCGTTGCGCGCTTGCTTTGCGCACCGGCATAGCAGAATTCGAATCCGCTGNCAGGAACGAGCTTCCGCTTTATCTAAAGAAAAAACCTCTTCCTTTCTCTCTTCCTGATCAGCGGTTATTTTTTTTTTTCCACTTAAAATTAAGGTGTTTGGCCAAGCTTTAAAAGAAAATAAATATTTTTGAGTAGAAGCAAAAGTAATTTTTTGAGAAGCAAAAAAAAGGTAATTTCAAAAAAAGTTTTGAGAAAAATACACTTAAAAGCACTTACTCAAAGCTTGCGCAAATATTAACTACGGTTCAAAAGTACTTTTCAAATTAATTAGTTATACACAAACTTTTTATAACTAAAAGTACTTTTTTGAAAAGCCATTTTCAAAATAATCTGATTTTAGAAGGTTGTGCCTTCATCGAATTGATGAAATTTCGTCACAATCTTGTGACAAAATTGTGTCATATATATATGTTTCGTCATATATTATTTTTCGTAAGATTTTAAGTATATACGGGAAGCGTAAGGATTTTTATTACATTATCAATAATAGTAGGATAGTTACTATTTTTACCAAAGACTAATTAATACTTATCAAAAGATTTATGTGTAATTATCTAATAAGTGACGTGATTGTACAAACGATAGGGATAGACTCGGTGGAGGTGGACGTAGAGATGGAGAAGGTAACAGTGGTGGGATACATTGATCGGAAAAAGGTGCTAAAGGCAGTGAGAAGAACAGGAAAGAGGGCAGAATTCTGGCCATATCCAAATCCACCCTTGTATTTCACATCTTCAAATAACTATTTCAAAGATACAACGATAGAGTACAAAGAGAGCTACAATTACTGGAGGCATGGCTATAATGCCACTGAAAAGCATGGCACTTTACCTGTTAGTCAACGAGGAGATGACAAAGTTAGCAACTTGTTTAATGATGATAATGTCTATTCCTGTTCTCTCATGTGATGTATAAGAATTATGTATCTTATAATCTTAATTAATTTTATGTGGATTAGTAAATTATGCGTGTAATCTGTGTATTATGTCATCATCCCAGATGTTGCCACCTTGGCTCTAGAAATCATCATATATGAATCATGATCATGCAAGATTATAGTATAATATTATTGGAATACCAAAGGGACTTACTCGTTGGTGACATGGTTTTTAATTCTCTTGGATTTTGTTTGTTTAGAATTTATGCGCCTCTATACAATTACGATGGATAGAGCTACCTGGTATTAGTGGCGAAGCTAAAAAACTCAATAAGGGCATATAAAATTTGAGTACTCCTTGCTAGTTGGCCATGCAAGGGTGTTCAAAGTCAGTTTTTTTATCAATAACAAGTACTCCCTCCGTTCCAATTTATGTGAACTGTTTGACTGGACACGGAGTTTAAGAAAAAATGAAGACTTTTGGAATTTGTGGTCCTAAACAAGTCAAAAAGAGGCCCAAAATATTTGTGTGGTTATAAAAGCTTCTCATTAAGGGTAGAATTGTAAGTTTAAGCTAAATTATTTCCAAATTCAGAAATGGGTCATTCTTTTTGGAATGGAGGGAGTAATATTTTACATTTCTCGGCAAAAGATTTTGTTAGTAATCTGTATTTGTAAAATAATTCTGGAGAAAATAAAATAACATAAACAGAAATGTAAACGAAATAAAAAACCAATTCGAGCTCACTGAATTCACAATGTTTCCTTAAGGAATTTAATCTCTTCCTAGTACCTAAGGTTATGGATTATTTCCTCTCAGGATAGAACGAATTACACACTGGTGTAGTGGTACTTCAAATCCTCAGTGTTTCAGCGAACACAAAGTTCGGTAGCAAATCACACTTACTGTTGCCTTCTTTGAAGTTAAAATATGCAGAAGAAAGGAGAAGAACTCAGAAAATTCGTATGGAAATTCTGAGAGAGTAGACTTGTATTTATAGCCAAAGTTGGGCTGAAATCTGAAGAGGTGCAACTCTTCAGAATGGTTGTTTATGCAAAACGGCCATATCATAAATGTCATAACATAAATGACTATTTACTTAACAATAAAGAGGGAAAATAAAGAGGAAAAATTGAAGGGTAGTTTAATTTTCGGTTACACAACTGAAAAACGGATTGGATTTAATATTAATATTTATTTTAATATTAATATTCTGTTACTAAAACAAATATTTAATAACATTTCTGTTAATATTTTACTATTAACAAATAAATTTGGTCCAAAAAATTAATCAATCAAATATTTGACCGAAGCTGAAGCCGAAACCGAGCCGAGCGAGCGACGACGACGACGACGCGAGGCTTGCCTTCTCTTCAACTCTTTAAGAGCTAGAAGAAGAGCAATTTCTTATATACCCATAAAAACCTCTTCCTCTTTCAATATGGGACAATGTCCCTTTGCCGGGGGTGGGGGGACTTAAAATTTCATTTAAAAATTTCATTTCCCTCCATTTTCCATTCACCCTATTTTAAGCCTCATTATTCTTAAAATCTCCAACAATCCCCCACATGAATGGGGAATGGCTATATCACGGAAATATGCATGGAAAAACTGTGTGATTCGCAATCTAGGATTAATTGCATCTGGATAAGTAGGTTTTCCTTTGAACTTTCCGTAGTGAACTTATGTCGGATATACTCGGTCAATCGGTAGATTTGATATTTTTGAACCCCAAACTTTGGTGTATACCTAGACAACCATAAGTCACACAATCAACCCTTAACCGTCTTTGGTTCTCATTGTTGTGTTCGTTTCAGCCATGAATACCGCCTGGTTTCATAAGTGCATAGAGAACTGGCCTTACAAAGTTCTCCTTGAAGCGACTAACACTTCACACTTACACAGGTGATTCCTAAACGTGTCATCCCGTAGGTACACTATTTGATATACCCTGTATCAAATTTAGAAATCATTAAAAAGCCTTAATGCTTTATCCTTGGTACTTGAACATTGCCTCATCACGAGAATGGACCAAAAGTTTAGTTGACAATGTTGAACTGTCATTAAGGACTTTGTTTGATCTCCTTGAACCTAGATCTTGGGATCTCTAGTCTTCTAGGTAGATTTTCCGCCACTATGACTTGTTCTCGGCCATAGTCACATTCCCCTTGATGATTTTTCAACTACCTCTCTAGTTAGGCCTTTTGTAAGTGGATCCGACACATTATCACTTGACTTTACATAGTCAATCGTGATAATTTCTCTAGAGAGTAATTGCCTAATGGTTTTATGTCTTCATCGTATATGACGAGATTTACCGTTATACATAACGCTCCCAACCCTTCCAATTACCGCTTGACTATCACAATGTATGCATATTGGTGTCAACGGCTTGGGCCAAAATGGAATGTCTTCCAAGAAATTTAGGAGCCATTCAGCTTCTTCACCGGCTTTATCTAAGGCTATGAATTCAGCCTCCATTGTAGAGCGAGCAATACAAGTTTGTTTGGACGACTTCCAAGATACCACTACTCCACCAATAGTGAATATATATCCACTTGTGGACTTCGAATCAGTTGAACTGGTGATCCAACTTGCATCACAGTATCCCTCAATCACTGCAGGATATTTACTGCAGTGCAAAGCAAAGCCCTGGGTATGTTCTAAATATCCCAAAACTCATTTCATTGCCATCCAATGAGATTGACCTGGATTACTCGTATATCGACTCAATTTACTTATAACACAGGCTATATTTGGTCGTGTACAATTCATGATGTACATTAAGCATCCCAACACACGAGCATAATCCAATTGTGATATGTTTTGGCCTTTGTTCTTTGCTAATGCAAGATTCACGTCAATTGGAGTCTTTGCAATTTTAAACCCTAAGTGCTTGAATTTTTCAAGTACTGTCTTAATATAATGAGATTATGACAATGCTAGACCTTGAGGAGTCTTATGGATCTCAATCCCCAGAATTAAATCAGCAACTCTCAAGTCCTTCATATCCAACTTGCTAGTTAGCATACGCTTAGTAGCATTTATGTTGGCAATGTCATTACTCAGTATCAGCATATCATCCACATATAAGCAAACAATGACTATGTGATTTGGAACATTTTTAATGTACACACATTTATCACATTCATTTATTTTAAAACCATTTGACAACATTGTTTGGTCATTGTTTGGGTGCCTGTTTTAGTCCATAAAGGGGATTAACAAGTCTACATACCTTCTTTTCTTTACCTGGAACCACAAACCCTTCAGGTTGTTCCATGTAGATTTATTCCTCCAATTCTCCATGTAAGAAGGCCGTCTTAACATCCATTTGATGAATTTCAAGACCATAACTGCAGCTAACGCTACTAACGTTTGTATGGATGTAATTCTTGTAACTGGAGAATATGTATCAAAATAGTCAAGACCTTTTCGTTGTCTATACCCTTTGACCATAAGTCTTGCCTTATATTTGTCAATAGTTCCATCATCTTTCATTTTTTTCTTAAAGATCCATTTAGAACCCAACGATTTATTTCCAGGAGAAAGATCAACCAATTCCCATGTATGGTTGTTCAATATGGATTCTATTTCACTATTGACTTCCTCTTTCCAAAACAATGATTCCGAAGAAGACATGACTTCTTTAAATGTTTGAGGCTCATGCTCTAATAAGAAAGTCACAAAATCTGGTCCAAATGAAGTAGGCGTTCTTTGACTTTTACTCCGTCTTGGATCCTCCTGATTAAATGTACTTTCTTTTGTTTCTTTTCGAGGTCATCTAGATACTTTACCAATCGACTCACATTCCTTTTTATACGGATATATATTTTCAAAGAACTCAACATTATCTGATTCTATAACCGTGTTATTATGAATGTCAGTATTTTCTGATTTATGAACCAGAAATCGATATGCTTTACTATTGGTCGCATATCTTATGAAAACACAATCAACGGTTTTTGGTCCTATTTTTACCATTTTGGGTTTATGAACTTGCACTTTTGCCAAAAACCCCCACACCTTAAAATAATTTACGTTGGGCTTCCTTAATTTCCATTTTTCATATGGAATGGATTGTGTTTTGCTATGGGGTACTCGATTTAGTATTCGGTTAGTCATAAGAATGTCTTCCCCCCACAAGTTCTGTGGCAAACCAGAACTTATCAACAATGCGTTCATCATCTCCTTTAATGAACGATTCTTTCTTTCCGCAATCTCATTGGATTGAGGAGTGTAAGGGGATGTTATTTGATGAATTATATATTCTAAACATATTTGTTCAAAAGGAGATTCATATTCACCACCCTTATCACTTCTTATCATTCTGATTTTCTTGTTAAGTTGTGTTTCAACTTCATTTTTGTATTGCTTGAATGCGTCTATTGCTTCATCTTTACTAATTAGTAAGTAAACATAGCAATATCGAGTACTACAATCCAATAAAGGTTATGAAATACTTCTTTCCACCGCGAGATGGTATTGACTTCATGTCACAAATATCTGTGTGAATTAAGTCTAAAGGATTTGAATTCCTTTCAACTGACTTATAAGGATATTTAGCATACTTAGATTCCACACATACTTGACATTTTAATTTGTCGCATTCAAACTTAGGCAATACTTTCAAATTAATCATTTTTCGCAAGGTTTTATAATTGACATGACCCAAACGTACATGCCATAATTCATTTGACTCAAGTAAGTAAGACGAAGCTGAAATTTTGTTATTATTTTCAACAACCATTACATTCAGCTTGAAAAGGCCCTCGGTGAGGTAACCTTTTCCTACAAATATCTCGTTCTTACTTATTACGACCTTATCGGATACAAATACACATTTAAAACCATTCTTAACAAGAATTCCAGCAGAGACTAAATTCTTCCTAATCTCGGGAACATGAAGGACGTTGTTCAACATCACCACTTTGTTGGAAGTCATTTTGAGAAATATCTTCCCACATCCTTCAATCTTGGCCTCTGCAGAATTTCCCATAAAAAGCGTCTCATCGGGTCCAACAGGAGCATAAGTAGCAAAAGCTTCTCTAACAGCACAAACATGGCGAGTGGCTCCATAATCAATCCACCACTATTTAGGATTTCCCACCAAGTTGCATTCGGAAAGCATGGCATACAAGTCATCAACATCATCATGCTTTTCAACCATGTTTGCTTGACCCTTCTTCTTGTCTTTCTTCGGAGCACGACA